TAGCAACTATAGTATTGTTAAAAAAAAAAAAAAAAAAAAAAAAAACATGATGTTGATTGCGTAAATGGTCCCAGGGGTTACGACTATGCTACGAATATGAATATAGTGAGTAAGTAGAGAGGGTGCTCGATACGTCAATCGGTCGGTCTACCGAGTGACGACTGAGCGATCCAAGGCAATGTTGTATTACAAGTAATGAACGATTACTAGTGAAGTAGATTACAATGTAGAGTAAAATCACAAATAGTGTGATGTTACAAGTAATGTGTTGTAACAACGAGATGAATCTAACAAGTGCGGGGGAGGACCCTCCTATTTATACTAAGTAAGTCGGATGTAAGGGAGTATGTGTCGTGTTATATAACACTACCTTAAAAACGTTATTTGCCCGGTGGCGGTGCAGTCAGAATAAACCGGTACGCTTTTTACTGGCAACACAGAGTAACCACGCTAAGCTTGCACCACCATAAACGTAGACGAACCTGACTATTGCTCAGACTCGGGGAGATAAAATGAATAGGAGTGAAAGGCTATGTAGAAATTGTTGCATATGAAAATCGAAGGGAAGACTGCTTATACACTGATTAACATAACAGCTTCCCTTCCCCAGCCACAAATTAAATGCAAAATAAGGGGAAGAGCTTTGAACGTGTGGACATGGGCAACAGATTGCATGACCATTACTAACAAGGGAATGGTGGACTGAAATTGTAGCTTTTCCCATTAAATAAATTTTCCAACATAAGTGTATGAAGAATTGGAAACCTCTTACAACTCCGCGAGAGTTGGCTGGGCCTGAGCGACAGGCGGTGGGGTTTGACTCCCAGGGTTTCGTGGGTCGGCGTGACATTACGCCCAGTACGTGCTGCCGACCGTTCACCGGGGACATGATGGCTTAGCTGCTTCCTCATATCTCCTACGGAGGCACGGCTACCGGCGGGTTGCTCCTCCACATTCGCAATGACAGTGATATGCCCATTAACTGCCAGGGCGACAACGTTCTGTCCAGTGTTTCAGTTGTTGCGTCGTGTGCGATCCATTAGCCAAGCTTAGAGACGGGGACTTCTAGTTTCGATCCCAACAGACGGCGCAAATGTTGATTTTATGGCCTAGAGGTAGCCGTTCGGCGGACCAAAACTACCGCAAAATACTAGGGTTTTGATGAACACAAAAGAGAATGAAAATTGCCAAGAAGAATTTGACAGTGTAACGAAATTGTATTAAGTAGTCAAAAATCCCTCCCTCTACATGGTGACCCCAAGGGGGTATTTATATAAAAGGGAGAAGCTTCCTACAAGGAAAGTAGGGCAAAGATGGAGCCGAATCTGCTATGAGATCCGCTATAATCGATGCAATATGTGCTTAAACTGAGAAAAGAAACCGCTAGCTGGATAAGGAAGGGAATCTCCGTAGAATCCGTCGATAACCGTCTCTGGGTGTGCACTCAGTCGGGGACGCACCGACTGCCTGACGAGGTAGTCCGGCTAGGGAGGTTGTGGCACTCAAGCAAGGACACGCCGGCCGCTGAGCCTGATCGCCCATCCAAGCCCCCAGGGGGAACCCGGTCGAGGACACGCCGCCTTCTGAGCCTGGTCGCCCGTCCAAAGCCCGAGAAGGGACCTGGTTGGGGACACGCGGGCTACCGAGACTGGTCGCCCATCCGAGTCTGCTGAGTGGACCTAGTCACACACCGGCTATAGAGCCTGGTCGCTTTACCTGAGCCAGCTAACTTCCGTCTAGGTACTCGCTCGTCTGCTGGTCTAGTCTCCCGGGTACTCTACGTGGTAAGCGGGGACAGCAGATGTAGCCCTTTTCCTTGAGTTTGCCAAGTGTTATGACGTGCTCGGATCTGACTACCCTTTCATTCTTACTAGACCGAGTGCCCAATTTAGGGTATCTATCAGAACTGATGTTCAAATTCCTGAAGAAGATATAAGGGAATGCTTCAATTTTCCAAAATCGCAATTGATGCCTGAATCTCTCACAATTATGATGTTCAATCCTTTTGGAATGAAATTCATGGTCCAAAGGCTCCAGTAGTTCCAAACCTATCTGACTACAAGATTGTGTTGAAACTTGAATACGAGATGTTGATCGATATAATCTACAAATCTCTTGACAACAAGTTGGAAAGTCTGGATGATCTATCTTCATCCTTTGTGTGCCTGATGAATGGCATTATGCAAGGAATTAAATTTAACTGGGCAAAATATATTTTCAATCGGCTTGTGATTTTCATCAATGCTGCAAAGCCGAAGGAGAAACCACTCGAAGGAAACCTTTTTTTCTCCAAGGAGTTGGCTATGGCTTTATAATTGGAGAATTGTTGGGAAAGAAGGGAAAACCGTTGAGACACAAAAATGTTGGAATATATAGGACACTCTTCAGAAAACACGGACCAAATTACAGGAAGAAAGGCAATCGAATAAAAGCATCTGAAAGAGGTTGTTCTACCAGTACAAGAACGCCACAAGGTTTTCGGAGGAGAAGTAGCAGGGCTGTTTCAGCAGCAAGTGAGTATATGGGCTCTAGTAATCCATCTTCTGTGAACCCCTTACCATGTGAATGATGAATGTTGTTCTTTTGAAGGTTATCTAGGTAGTCACTCTATTGAGAGTGGCTACGGAGTAGCATCCCTAATTCTATTTAAGTTTGGTTGTTTAGTAGGCTACAAACCTTATCTTTCTCCCTATTTCTACTCTTAAGTATGATAACTATACTAGGCTCGAATGCATGAAAATTGAGGATGTTACATTAGCCTATCATTATGACACTGAGTGATACACGAGGGAAAAGATGAGAAAAAGTCTCACACTGTCAATAGTATCAATACTAGTAGTGAAAATATCCTTGTAATAATCCAGAATAACTAACTTGATACCGTCCCCAAATTATGCCCTGGACCCGTGTCCACAATGAATTGTGGACACGGGCCCAAAACGACATCGTTTTTTTAAAAAAAAAAAACGCGTCCTTTAGTTAAAAAAAAAAATAAAATAAAATAAAATAAAAAAAAAAAATCGCGCACGTTTTGCTGTTAACGGCGTTATTTTTTTTTATTATTATGAATGTACAGTTATGCCGTTATGAATGTACAGTTATGCCGTTATAAAATTATGAACACAGAGCTCTAACATTATGAACTTACAATTATGAACATATATAGTGATAAAATTATGACCATGGAGCTTTAAAATTGTGAATATAGAGCTTCGAAGATTATGAATGTACAGTTATGGAGTTATGAATGTACAGTTATAGAGTTATGAATCTACAGTTATGAGATTATGAATCTACAGTTATGGAATTATGAATGTACAGTTATTGATCGAATTATGAACAAAGAGCTCTAACATTATGAACTTACAATTATGAACATATAGTGATAAAATTATGAACATAGAGCTCTAAAATTGTGAACATAGAGCTCTAAAATTGTGAACATAGAGCTTCGAAAATTATCAATGTACAATTATGGAGTTATGAATGTACAGTTATGGAGTTATGAATGTACAGTTATAGAGTTATGAACGTACAGTTATAGAGTTATGAATGTACAGTTATTAATATATAGTAATAAAATTATGAACATATATTCCTATAACGAAGCGGTCTGAAATTTAAAAAAAAAAAAAAAAAAGGAGATAACAGTGCCTAACGGCACTGTTACCCGTGTCCAGCAAGCATGCTGGACACGGGTCCAACGCATAACGATTCCCCCCCCCCCCCCCCCAAATCCAGTCCCTATTACACTTTTGCATATAATTTTTTAGTTAGATGGCCTAATTATACTTTTGCATATAATTTTTTAGTTAGATGACCTAATTATACTTTTGCATATAATTTAATGACTAATTTGAACAATTTTCCTCTATTAATCAAAATTTTAATATCCAAGTTTGTTCTTTTACTTAAATTTCAACCGATTAATTTATTAGCTACTATCTTTTCAAGCTCGGTGTGCCAAACATAACCTAAACTTTCTATAAACATTCTTTTTAATTTCCAATATTTACATTAAAAAAAAAAAATCACACACACACAAAGCCACAAAGTACTAAGGACAAAATCATAGAAGTACAATGACTAAAGAGAACAAAATGAGGAGGCCATGAAATGAAGAATAAGGCTTAAATAATGAAATAATACTTGATTAGAATTAGATAATATGTTTTGTAATTATAGCGGTAATAAAAATCTATACCTGTTTTAAAAAATTGTCAACCAAACAATGTATATGACTTTCATTCACATTCCTTGCGTCTAACCCCATAAACTACATACCCTTAGGGGGCGTTTGGTTCAGGTTATATAACATAACCAAGGGAATGTGACATTCCAAAGCTCACATTCCGGTGTTTGGTTCATATTATCTTAGGGAATCTAACATTCCCAAGGAATGTCACATTCCCTCCACATAGGATTTTGAAGGGAATGTGATTCCCTTCAAAATCTTAGGTAATGTAAGATAACCTTGGTTATCTTAAGGATATTATAGTGTGTATAAAAGATAACCCTAAACCAAACATGATTATATTACATACCTCAATTTTAACCAAACACAGGAATCTAACATTCCCAGTAATCTAACATTCCCAGCAATCTAACATTCCCTAAGGTAATCTGACATTCCGTGAACCAAACGTCCCCTTAATTCTTTAATCAGTTTTAGTATGAAAAAAAAAAAAAAAAAAAAAAAAAAAAAAAAAAAAAAGGTAAAACTGTCATGCCAATGTAAACCAGCTGAACATTATTCTCCACTTCCCAACAACTATCAAACTGTTACAAACCATGTTCATTTGGTGATTAGAGAAATGGGATGATTTGAAAATTTTTATATGAAGTACAATTTAAATGAATGATTTGATAAGAGTTGTAACTAGCTTATAGCAACTACAAGATAGGTGAGAAAAGCAAAGAAAGCAAGACAAACTTTTAATCTGGTGCCAACAAAGGGCAAATAAACAATTAGGTAAATTTTACACATTTAAAAACACACCAAACATAAATATAAGTGAATAATTTACTCACTTTTTAAATGGTAAGAAAGTTTGAAACAAATGTAGTGTGTACAAAGGGCAAATTCTAAATTCATCAATTCTCCTTTTTGAGTCTTACTTTGGGTACCAGAGAAGCATAAACACAAAAGGAACACAAGTAATGAGTAATTTCATGACCACAAATAACGCATATTCAAGGGCCAACTTCACGACCTAGTCTCGAAATGAAGTAAAATTTATGTTCAATTGGAAGCTGTGATTAGCTAGATGAATCATCAAATGGAGGCAGTCCCCAATCACTTGGGTTAAAATCCAATAAAGAACTAAGAACCTGATCAGCAATTCCATGATAAGAGCTATCCAACCTGGGGTCAGGAACCATAACCACTGACCTGCAAGTTATATGAATTAATTAGGATCAAGCAGGGTTTAACAAGAATATTAGTAAATAAAGCCACTGTGTTTCATTTGTACAGGTTTTTTTTACGCAACTATAATTCCCAGTAATAAATGAAAATACTAAACCTATAAAAAAATATTAATTCATGAAAAAACAAAAAGTAAACACTCAAAAGATGAGTTCATCATGAAAATCTTTTATGAATAAGAGTTTATGAATCTGTGATGTTCAATTTCCATTTCAATACAGTTGCTAACGACAATCAATAAACGAAAAAATGGTCATTTGAAACTCACCTGAACTCTATTTTAGTTGGAGTCAATTACATGGATTCCATATTCCCATTCAATCATATTTAATTATTTAGGTGCTAAATGCCTAAATCTACCATCAGATATTGTGCTAACATACCATTATTTTAACAACACCTTGTTATTCCTCTTACTATTTATTGCACATAGAGGTCTAAACTAGCATGTCAACACTATATTAATCAATTCTCCGTGTTTGTCCTAAACTCTGTATTACTACTGTTGCAAAAATTGCGCCTAGGCGCTAGGCACATACCGGCCACCTAGCGTATCACCATAATCGGTGGTTTAGGCACCGACTAAGCCACCTAGTCGACCGGTTAGCTATTGTTCCCTTTTATTTTTTAAAAAAAAATAGGTTATTTCACTCAAAACAACGTCGTTTTGAGCGAAATAACGCTAAATCGTTCAAACTCTAAATGTTTTTTAGGTTAATATTTAATATTTTAGTATTAACTATTAAAGTATTAAATAGTTTATAATTATGAAGTCTTAAAATTTAAAAAAAAAAAAATTTATACAAATTTTAAAAATTAATAAATAAATAAATAAATAAAATACACGGGCACCTAGGCGCCCGAGGAGCACCTAGCGATTTTTTCAACCATGTGTATTACTTCAAATAAAGTCATCTCCTTAATTCCATTAGTCCATTTTTGCATTCACACCTCAGCAATAACCATACCCATGTTTCTTTACTGCTCAATAGTCACTGTCGTAAAGCACAACCAGTCCTCCAGCCACCCCTAGTTTCCCTCCAATCTGAATTACATCTTTATTGTCCTATTAAGATTAAAGAAGACTAGAACCAAGGTATCAGAAGTGCATAAGCTCAGAGCATACTTCCATCCAGTTTAACATCCTTCAATATGGCACTACTTGTAGTGCTGACTTCCCAAAAAACGAGCTTTTGCTTTTTACTCAATTTGAAGCTCTTATTCTGTAAAGTAGTTCTACAAAATTCCATTTTTTATTCCTTTTTTGTTGCCTCATCAAGGAGGATGTAGTCATCTATAAAAAAAGCACACTTTCTACATCATCTTCAATATGCCATTTAGTTGAAGAAAGGGGGTACAAGATGAATCTTAGTCTACACCTACAGTATTAGGAAAGATATTATGTTTCTTTGTTATGGAGTTTTCTTCATAGGCAAGAGAAAATAATAGAAATGGGAAGAGAACGAATATTGTACAAAAGGAAGAGTTAGGTTTGAGTTTGCTTGAGATCTCAAAACTCCCTTGTCCCCTAGATTGGGATTAATTTTTGCTTCCCATATATTGTAACTAATTGTCCCTTTTATAATAGGGCAGTACAATGATTTCCAAATTAATTATTTAGTAGTTTCCAAATAACTAAACTAAGTAATTTTCTAAATAACTAAACTATGTTAACATAATTGTAATAAAATAAGACTTCTCCAATCACAACTTCCTAAATAACCATAAGCCCCCATAATGTATCATAACACAGCAAACTTAGAGGCGGGAAACCTCATGCACCCCGTAACCAACACTTCCCACAATCAAATTACATTATCAAAAGAATAGCGGATAGTAGAGCCACAATTGGCATTCAAAGGATTAACTGATGGCCAACAACGGTGAGGCAAACTCCAATCCTAGATATCTGTTGGGTGCATTAGTACTTAGTAGGAACAGTAGAATTGGAGGATGACGGGAATCATAGAGATGAAGATTGACCAATAACATATTCCATATGTCACAATCACGAAATGAGATGAGGCTTTAGAGTGGTGAAAAAGCCCTCCCATGGGCAATAGACAATTTCTAGAAAGGACACATCCTCAATTTATGGAAAATGAGCAAATCTCCTAATTGAATTATCACTAACACGAGGATGATTGGACGAAACATTGGTTTGCATTGACACTATATCAGCACATGGGTAATCAATAATGACTATGAAAGATGAATCATTCACCTTGAGTGAACATCACCCAATATTTGTTAAATGCTCGAGAAGGTGGGCGTATCAGTTGTTGGCGTTTTCCCAAGGTCTTTGAGGAATTTAGTTACCGACTACTTTAGTTCATCATCATCTTCACCCAATTCTACAAGACATTTTTAAGTTTTTTGCAGCACTATTGGGCCACCTAATGCCCGTGATTCCAGCAATGGAACTAATGTTATGGTTCTTTGTCACAAGTAAGAGAAAATAATAGAAACAAGAAGAAAAGAACTGATTGTACATAGGAAAAGTAGAGTTTGCTTGAGATCCCAAAACTCCCTTGTCCTATAAATTGGGATTTAATTTCTGTTTTCCATAAATTGTAAATAATTATCCCTTTTTATAATAGGGCAATATAATGACTCCCAGATTAAGACTGATCACTTATTTGGTAGTTTCCAAATAACTAAAATATCCAGTCTATCTAAATAAACTAAATAATTATTTAGTAGTTTCCAAATAACTAAAATATGTAATGTAATTCTAATAAAATAAGAATTCTTCAATCATGGCAAATTCCTAAATAACCACACCTCCCATAATGTATCATTCTCCTTCACCGTTTTCAAACTAACTCTTAAATACATCTTTTTCTAATTCTAATATAATAACCGGAAAATACTACTTACCTAACACCATCTACTAGTCTTTTCTTGGAACTTAATGTCTACAAAGACTTGAAATATCTCTTTTGCTGTCAATTGGACACACTGACAACATCTGTAAATAATCAATTCAAAACTGTAACTAAAGAAAAAATTCAACTGATGAAAGGAAGATCATGACTAATCTAGGTAAATTTCTTTTACACTCGCCAAATATTAGATCCTGCAGCTGTCCTATTCCACTTAACACCCCCATCAAACCAAAAACAAAAACAAAACAAAAACAAAAACAAAACAAAACAAAACAAAACAAAAAAACAAAGCAAAACAAAACAAAAAAATCCTGTGGCAACAAGTAACAACAATCAAGGTCATCAACTTGCTAAAAAAAATATATTTCATGACACAGAAAGCTCAATGGGTGCAAGTATCCCAAGTGACTTACATGCCAGCATTCTTAGCCGCAAGAACACCTGAAGGAGCATCCTCAAAAACAAGAACTTTGTGGGGAACAACTGGCCCATCCTGTGTAAATGAATAGTTTTCAGTATCCAGTTGTGTTGCACCATCAAAATGATACTCTAAAAAAACTGAAGTATACATTTGATATTTATTGGGAAAGAGTACCTCAAATCTATTGGCTGCTGCAAGAAATATATCAGGTGAAGGTTTCCCTTGTTTGACTTCTGGATCATCACCAAGAACAATATGATGCATCAGCGAAAAAATTTCACCATGCTGTTGTGTTTTCAATTGAAAATGACGCTTGTGAGTGCTGTAATGCACAAAAATCAATTCAATAGTGGAATACACTGTCTTATAAACAGGATTCAGGATGAAAATTGAGATTTTAGCTGCCAATATCCTAAACGAAAGCACTCAAGGTCAAAGAAAAGAAAAGTGAAGAAATCTACCCTGTTGCAACACAAATTGGTATTCCTTTTGCATGAAGGTGCCGAATAAAACGGCTAGCACCTGAAATCAAACAAAATGGTCAAAAGCACATTTGCAAATATTTAGATTTATCTAGTATAAAACAGTTTTAAAGCATGTCATATTTAACAGCACATAATAAGTCTGGATTTATGTGATTAAAAAGTTTATATTAAGTTCAGTGGTAGAGATTGCGAATTTGGGTGGGGTGGTGAATGCAAAAAGCACCCTAAATGGGAGACAAGAGAACTAACTGAGGGAGAAAATATCATACTGGAAGAGACTAATAAACAGCAGGAAAAAAAATTAGTTTTGAATAAATCTGATACATGCCGAATTGTTCGCACATGAAAATCCAAATCAGTAGCACAAAAATTGATAGCTTAATACGAAGTTGTGTGAGATGGTTCCAGCTAAAACACAGCATATATTCTCCATAAAGAGGGAATGTTTTGTGGAAATGCAAAGTCCACATGTACCAGGAAGAGCAAAAGAATGAGCCTCCACAGAGCAGACCTATAGTTTCATACTTAAGTTGAATGTAGACATTCTAGGTAGCCTTCCCAACTTTAGCAGCTTGAAGTGTGGGAGCCTAGCAAGTGAGCTCCAGGCAGTTGAATTCACCAATGTTATATGTAAAACTCATCATAGTTCAAATTGATACAAATATAATGTAAGGCTAACTATGATGAATTTAACTTAGACAATTGATGAACTCATGAACCCATTGACAAGGTTCACCACAGTATACCAACTCCAATTGATGAACCAATTGACCAGGCTCATGGTATACCAACTCCAAAGTCTTTTAAAGTAAAAAGCACAGTAGAGCAACAAGGGACTGCCTCTCTTTAGAACACAAGGCACAAAGCAGATCTGTATATCTGATGCTTTTGTTAACAAGTAATGTGAAATATCAAATTCTATATTTCAAATCAATATGAAAATGCTTTACAATGCAATTTTAAGGCAAAATAATATGGTTTAGCAGAAACTGTAATTAAAAAGAAAAAGATTATTGGGGATGCTAGACAACCATTAATTTGGGAAATCAATTTCATCCAAACTAATTTCACCTATGGCTTTTCACATTTCCCATCAACGTGATATAGACCAGGCAAAAAATGAAATCAATCAAACCATTCAAGTGGTAGAATATAATAAGGGATTGAATGATTATATAATCAGTAATTGAAAGTCGCAACAGGCCGACAGCCTTTGTTAGTAAAGAGGAGCGGCCCACAATTTGTTGCAACTTGCAACATCAGACCCCAACATTAACCGTTAAAGCGAAACTCATAGTAAACTTCAGTGGTGAGCTTTCTACCCCTCCTATTGACCAACTAGCAACTCTTCATCAAGCCAGCACTATAGATGAATTTGCTAATGAAATCCAAGCACAAGTCTACGTCATCCATTCACTACCAACGCTCTCACCAACCTTTTTTGCAAAGCTACTCTGATACAACTCACACAAACAACTCAATTTAAATGTATTAATACATTTTAGGAGGTAGAAAAGAAAACCAAGAAGCACAAAAAAAGGAAATTTTAAAATGTTTCAAACAAAAGTGTTGATCATGTCTTTATGAAAGACATATTATGCAACAAAATGCTCAATAGCTACATAGAAATTTGTAATCTGAAAATAACTGTTATTCACCCTCACCCTATATCAAACTGAATATCTTCTTTCTACCTGGGTATCCAAAAATGAATGTCACGTCTTAATATGTCAAATATTTGGAATAGTATCTTCTTTGAAAACATAAATCAAGTGGAAAGAGAGAAGTATACTTTCTTTTTACAAGGGCATTATTAAAACCAGAGTAGGAAATTCCTGGCTTAGTTTAAAAATTAAGCTCCCCAATCCACTCTGTAACATTTAGTTTAAAAATTAAGCTCCCCAATCCACTCTGTAACATTTAAGTATTACTATCTTTTTTACCATCCCACTTCAAACTACTCTGTAACATTAAAATTATAAAAATACGACCTGAATTGATTGATAAACTGAAACATAATGAATTGTATGTTGCTACTTTGGAGAAAGCCCAAGGGAGTGGAAAGATGAAAGACAATCATGCAAAGTAGTACATAAAGATTTCATTTCCTTAAGTGGTACCTGGCATGAGTTCACTGGTTGGAAACATATTCTGAAGCATAGCCTCTCTTTCAATAAGAAAATCTTCAGCTGTCAGAGAATCACTAATTCCTGTCTCCTCAACAAAGACCGTAGCAGCTTCTATAGCCTTCTTACCCATCATTTTTGCCTTAAGTGACCAATCAAAGGTCTTATTGTATCTGGCGAGTATAATCTCTTGGACTTCAGTGTAGAATTTTTCAGTGTCTGAGACAAAGTATCCAAGAAAATATAAAAACAATTAAGGCATTGCGTTGAAGACATAACATTTTAAACAGATAATTGCCTTCATACAAACAGAAATTAGAAATACATGACTACATAAATTCAAACAGCTTGGGTAGCCTGTTGAGATAGTTTTCTTTCCTATTTGATATTGTATCTAGACAATCAACAAAAGACAGCCTAAGAAATGAACTAATGACAAATATGTTGTCATTATATTGGATAAATCCAGTATAAGAAGGATGAAATTAAGCAATTAGCTATTTAGAATTCAGAAATGCTAATGGGTAACTGAAATTGTAAGCCCAGTGAAGTAAACAAATATACAGAGAGTAGTAACTAGCACTCCAAAATAGATCTAGAGAATTTTATAAAAAGCATTAAGTAATTACAAAGAAAAAATTTTAAAAAAATAAGAAAATATATAAAGAAATAGAAAGTAATGGCTGCATATAAACGTGCATACATACCAAGAAGAAGGCCGTCCATGTCGAAGATGATGTGAGTGATTGAAGGTTTTTGCGTAGACGGAGAGGAACTATTGCCGCTTGGATTCGTCATTGCGGACAAATACCTTTCGCCTCTAGTTCCTCGCCTAAAAATAATACTCCGTAATATATGTATGTTCCCTACGGAAGATCCAGAGAATAGAGGAAAAGCAAATTTCATGTAAAAAAATAATAATAATAAAAATAAAAAGATGAAAGACCAATGACAATGATTCAGGCGAAAAAAGAATTTGGTAAACTTTGATATTTTCTTTTGAATAATATTCTTCCAAAAAGGCTGAACCCACTCCGGCTCGACAGAACATTTGGGAGGATGTAAATCATGAACGCACAAGGAGCCCCCTTCACTTTGAGAGGTTGCTCCCACACTGCCGCTGGTGAGACTCAATCCCTGGTCATTCTTCCAAAGTTTCACTTCTATGACCAGTTGAACTACCCATACGGGCTTCTTTTGAATAATATTGACCATGTTACATGTATTATCCGTTCATATATACTTTTTCAACCTACTGAAACGCAACGAGTCAATTTTACCAGTAATTATATCGTGGACCTTGGGTCTATAAAGTTTTGTGGACCATGGTTCAAAAACAGCGCCGTTTCCTTAAATAAAGAAACGGCAGTCGTTACAGATTAACGGAACGCGTATTTTTTGTGTGTTAATTACCAAATAAAATTACAGTGTATCTAAACTGACACTGTCTCACGTATTATTATCAAATGAAATTATAATTGAATTGAAATGAAACTGCAATGTATACAAAATGAAACTGAATAGCAATTTCACATATTTGAGTGTATATTGTCCAGCGAAACTGTAATTATATCAAAATGATATTGTAGTTGTGTTGAAATGAAACTGCAGTGTATATAAAATGAAACTGAATAAAATTTCACATATTTGAATGTATATTGTGCAATTTAATGAAACTGTAGTTATATCGAAATTGATAATGTAGTTGTGTTATAATGAAACTAAAGTGTATATATAAAATGAAACTGAATAACAATTTCATATATTTGAGTGTATAATATCGAATGAAATTGTAGTTATATCAAAATGAAACTGTAGTTGTGTTTAAATGTAACTAAATATGTTATACAATTAAAGTTACTTTTTGTGAACGGTACGAAACGCCGCGGAACAGGTGTCGTTTCTTTTCATTAAAAGAAACTACACCGTTTTTATGTCTGGACCACAATGCATTGTGGACCGGCCGCGGTTCACAATATAATTTGACATCAATACCGTTGTGGGAGAGTCATTTCATGCTGTTTGACCACAAGGTCTTTGGCTTGTAAAATTTGATATTAGTTCAGAATTAATAATACTGGTAAAATCTGCACTCACCAACTCAAACTGAGAAATAAAAGTGGGTGTTGTGGTGGTTATAATAATAGTTTGGACATTAATTTAAAAAGAAATGAGAGGAAAGATAAATATAGAAAAAAAATATATATAACTAAAATTTTATGAATATATTTTTGTCAAATTAAACTTTTTTTGGTTGACTACTAATGAGTATTTTCTTTTTTTTTTTTCCTTGAATACACCCCGAAAGTTATTTATCGGGTTTCTAAATGGATCTTTAGTTGTACAAAATCTAAAATTTTCCTATTGTGACCATATATTACAAAACTGGATTTTTTTGTGGTAAAGATGATCGTTAATATACTTTTTGACATTTAACAATAATAATAATAATAATAATAATAATAATAATAAGTTGTTATAAATATAATTTATTGTGGACATTATCGGAATGATTATGTAACAGTCGTAATGGTCCAAGGTTTATATTTATCAATTATCATTATTACATTCCACTAGTACGGAATGGATTTGTTATAATATATTAAGAATATTTCGATCGATATACAATTATTTAAATTATAACATTAAACGGAGCTTCTTCCTGATTTTGGACGGTAACGCCGTCGCCGTCTTCTTCGCTAGAATTCTGATTCAGAGGATCTAGCATTAAAGATCCAAAGGTGGAGGAAGTGAGAGCAACCACGTGAGGGCTTTCCACGTCATTCAGCGGCGGGTGATGCCAGTGCATCGAGTGACTCCGCCGCACCGGAGAATACGCCGCCTGGCATTTCTGGCACACTCTCAGTTTCGAACTGGCTTAACAGCCCCATTTCCATCCTTAACAGTCCAAATCGAAGCTTCGTTAATCCATGAATCCTAGATTGAAAATTTGATTTTAGATTTTAGGTTTAATTCACTGATTTGCTAAGTCGAAGATAATCGCGGTTGAGAAGAAAGGGTAAAGAGAAGCTTATACATGGATTGACGCAATTGCCCCTGGACTTCACGGCTTTGAGATGGAAAAATTAATGGTGGACCAACAGTGGAACACTGAACATAAGAGTGGTTGCAATGTGGCAAGGCAAATAATGGTGGAATAAAATTGGAATGACCCCTATAACAGTAGGACAAAAAATGGAATTAACTCTATTTATAATTATTTTATTGTTATAATTATGCATTAAGAAAAGCACGTTTTAATAATGGTTTAGTATATTATTATATAAATTCATTATTAAATATCATTCTATTTTGGATTCATTATGGCCTACTAAGGTAGTTTGTTTGGTTTCCCCTTTAATATTAAACATATTTTAGTTCTAGGTCTCACTTGGGGTTTTTAAAACCTATTTTGAACATGCTATTTTGGATCAATCTTGGGTGATTAAAGTATGGATATTACTAATTGATATTTTAATAATAATTATAGCTCTTTTATTTAACTTATAATATGTTTATTAAGTTGTTAATTATTACTAACTACCATATTTTGGTATTCATTATTGTTGATAATAATATTAAGTTTGGATCTATTTCAGTACTAGATCGTTTTCCATTCATGTTATAATTCACTTAAACTATTGAGGTTTATGAGCCTAGTTTGAGTGATTAAGTGATATAATTATTGTATTGGCCTATTTATGAGTCATTAAGAATTTAAGGATTATAACTATTGTTTGATTATGTTTTTTATTCTATCAATTTCAAGGCCTTAATAATAATAATAGTAATAATAATAATAATAATAATAATAATAATAATTCTTTAATTTTATGACAAAAGTGGTTAATTGTATGTATAATAGTAATTTTACTATTACCCTAACTTCAGTTTCCCTAAGTATTATAATAGTCATGTTAATTTTTTGAAAGTATAGTCATGTTAATTATTTTGTGGTAAATTGATATTAGTATTTGACATCCCTTAATTATAGCTTTGTCTTTATTATAGTTATTACTAATTGGCATTGTGAATTACTGTTATTAAGTTTTGGGGCTAGTATCGTTTATTATCTTTCATAATATAATTATTTCTTGGAAATATGTTATATTTGGTACACTGGTACGATTACCCACTTTATTTTACATGACTATTAAGGTTGGTAATTAAGTCCTACCAATAAATGTTTTACGTACCTTTGGACGCCGCATCGAGGTTACTGACACCAACAGTGAAAATGGGGAGAATTATGGAGTTTTTCTTCTCTTGTTGATCATCATCGTTGTTAGCGCAATGGGGAGATGCGGTTTGCATCATTAAGGTAAGTCATTAATTATCTTTTATTGTTATTATTGGTAACTAGTGCTACAGTTATAGTTAACCGCTAATTTGGACTAACCACATATTTTCTCTTTAGAAAACTGGAAACATTAAAATGTACATTACCATACTTGGACGCAAGACATTTACTGGTCAAGTGTTTTTATACTAGGAGGACGTTTGCTGGTCATTTTATACTCAGAAGACGTTTACCGGTAAAAGCACAATATTCAAAGTACCATGGGAGGTATTAACTCAATAAACAAATGACATTTCTATAATATGAAACTGCCCATCCAGCCAAAAAAAAATATTCAACATTGGTTCATATGACACACACATTGGAAGTGTAGTCTAGTCCATTATTTTTGTCTTATTGAATCCACATGCTGACATGCATTATATTATATTAATCCCTGGAAGATAGATATATAGTGCTCGATCACGATCATAGATAATAATTAATTAATTAATAACTCTGCAATTGGATCGAACCTCTCCGGCAAAACCTGTCAAGACATCGATTTTGCCCATCTTCACCATTGCCGCAGCAAATTTCATTTTCCAAAGAAAATCGTTCTGAGCATTCTGGGTGACTAGGAATGCTGTGAATGGACTTGTAAGTAGAGCTTGATCTGAAGTGAAGAGGCCTCGGTTGGCTAGTAGGTTTGAGTAGTAGCTAACATCAGTTTTGGCTGGAGACCAAGGGTCCATTGCCGCCACCCGGTTTGGGTTGTTGTCCCCTTTTGGACACTTCAGTTTTAGCAGAGCTGCATATAAGGGATCCAGGGTGGGGTCTTGTTCCGTTGTTAGGTTGAAATTGTATAGCCTGTTACTGAAAGAGCTGCAATGCGCCCGCCCGATGGTGTGAGCTCCTGGGACGACATACATATCAAGCCCCCAAAGTCAATTTATATCATATTAATGATCAAATGAGAACCACTAGCTCCTAAGGTGAAATTGTGAGAACGGAAAAACTAACATGATGGCAACGGGTCGGGGTTTATTGGAGAGGGCAACATCCATCACCCGACGCTGGCCTCTTATATTTTCTTCACCCAACCCACCACCAATTCGCAACGGGTGGACTTTTTCAAAGCGCACACCCGCCTCACCGGGTGCGGGTGCCCACCACAGATACCCATTACTTATTATCTTATTAAAAAATTTAAAATAATACTTAAATTATTTACCCATAATAAAATAATAAAAAACACTAGTTATATTAAAACATAAAATAATAATAATAATTAAATACTCAACTATAATAATTAAATTGTTAATTTTTTTAAAAAGCAAACTTATTAGTTTAGAACTAAAAATAGTAAAAAGTTAGTTGAAATTCTAGAAACTTTTATACTCCGTTATAAACTACATACTAATACTTAATTTACTATATATATATATATATATATATATATATATATATATATATATATATATATATATATATATGGGTGATCACATGTGGTCATGTTAGGTGTGTTCATATGGTCAATTATAGACCATTAGATTAGATAGATCCAATGAATCATATTAATCAAGATTTTTTCAGTATTTTCACGCACATTCTCCTACCGAGCGAACTGCAAGGGCAAACTCGTCATAAAACACCAGAATATGGAAAATCACATTGTTGTGTGTTTTATTACACTATTGGTGCATGTTGTCAACACTGTTGGTGTATTCTGGAACCCGACCGCTATAAATGGCTATTGTAATTACCATAACACGGGAATACACCATTGGTGTGTTTCACTGTGGTGTATTTTATTACACTATTGGTGCATGTTGTTAACACTGTTGGTGTATTTTGGAACCCGCCCGCTATAAATGGCCACTGTAATTACCATAACGCCCCCACTTACCAAAACGCGCGAAAATCCTCAGAATTACTACTGTCGTTAGATTAAACTGATTCAACGACACAGATACGACCACACTGTCACACCTAATGACATGACCACATATGAGCGCTCTTCTATATATATATATATATATATATATATATATATATATATATATATATATATATATATATACACACACACACACACACACACTTTGTGAGTCGGGTGGGGCTCTAGGCGAATTTTGTACATTAAACTCAAATCCAACTCGACTCACGTGTTTAATTTTGTAAGATTCACTCCCGACCACCACCCACAAAAATCGTATCCATACAGGGTGGATTCGTGTGGATATTTGCGGGGCAAAGTTAAATTGTCATCCATAATTACTCCATGGTAGATTTTGTGTATGGAATATATAGTAGATTGTGCGAATAATTCATGTAAAAAATTGTTTACATTAGGTAGAAGTTCGCGAGTTTTTCACTTTAAGGAGTTGTTCTTACTTCAACAAAGCCCAATTTTAATAATATATAACAAATTCAACCTTCAATTTCATATAATAATCATATATATATATACTATACCCGAGAGTGTAACCATTTCTTCTTGCGTAAGTCCCTTGAGAGCAAAACGTAAAGTAAGCTGATCGAGGGTAGATGAAGGTGGTGGCAAATTGAGAAGGGCCTCTAAAAAGGAAGAAGTACGTCCATCTCTTCTTCCAGCAGGAACATCATAGGTAAGCCCTCCAGTCTGCAACCAAAATTATTATATCTAGGCGAAAGTGTAATTTTCGTTTTTCTAAGTTATATGGTAATTGTAAAATTTGTTTATGAGTATTGGCTGTGCTCATTTTTCACCCTTAAGCTATCATTAGCGTTACACTTTTCGACCTTTTATTAACTTTTTGTGCTCAATTTCGTTTCTAATTAAGTTATACTAAAGTTGCAAATTTCGTCCCTAATGTTTTGTTAGTAAAAGCGATTAAAAGTGCAACGCCAATGATAACTTAGGGACGAAAAATGAACATAATGACCAACAATTAGGGACGAATTCTACAATTATCATATAATTTAGCTAGGGACAAAAAGTATAAATTTTCTTTATATCTATATTGCAATAATTAATTAAGCTAAACATTCATAAAGTGGTTGGAAATCGCCATTTTTCAATCATTAACCCCAGTTCTGACTATTGGGGTATCCGCAAAATCCTTCATGACTATTTTAGACCACCGCATAAATGGTCGGAAATAGCGTCTACTATTTTAAAGTGTATTCAAGTAAGAAAGTTAGCGTTGTGTATTTTCCAATCACCGGTGGTCGGGGTGAAAAAGTGAGCGTATGCACATATAATCGAAGTGTGAAATCTAAGCTATACTATTATTGTACGGAGTAATTGATTAGTAGTGTTACCATCTCCACGCTATCCCTGGCTGCAAAAGCCAAAATATCAGCACACGACACAACTCCTTTGCATACGGATTCCAGCCTAGCTTTTGCTCTGTCAATCACCTCGAATTCTCTCTTTCCTTGATTTGGTGGAGAATCCTTTTCTGCTAGGTTGAATAGAGTGGAATCTATGAGTACTGACCCATCACACCCCTGCCCATGCATCATTATATCACATATTATGACGACGTACTCCAAATTAAAAACAATAATAGTTCTTTAGATTCAGATAGAGATATCAAAGTGGGCCAAACCACGTGGATCAGTCCTAAATTACTCCGCAGTGGGACAAATTAGGACCTAAAATTTTTGACCCGTGAAAATGCGGGCCTCGCAAGCTTGACTTGCGCAAATTTGGCTTGATTTTCCATCTATTAGATCTTTTACATCAATAGTTTGAATTTGTCAGTAAATTCTCACCTAGGAGTTGTTCTCATATGATTAGGAATATATATATATATATATATATATATATATATGTGTGTGTGTGTGTGTGTGTGTGTGTGTGTGTGTGTGTGTGAGACATTAAAAAAATAAAAAATAATTTTTATTTACCCTACAGGCTAGCCCGTGGGGTCTACGAGCCTGCAGCTAGCTTGCATGAGGCGGGTTAAGGTGGAAGATTCTAGTCTACGGGCTAGCCCGTAAAACTCACAAAAATTTTAACCCGAATAAGGCGAGTCTAATAAGGCGGACCAACCCGCATTAACAGCACTAGATCCAGGCAGGAAAAAATAGCAACTAGTACTAGCAATGCAAACTACTACATACCCTAACAAAGCAGTCATGGAAATGCAGCCGGAGAAGGGCGGCAGCCACTCCGTTATCAAAAAGGAAAGCTTTCTGGACCTCATCCTTGATAATGAGCTCAGCCAAGGGACACGAGAAACTGTAAAACCCAACTTGCAATTCAGCTTTTAACACAATCAAGTGGCACGTAAGCAGAACCATAGTCATGGCTAAGCTAGTAAAGCTGCTACTACAACAACTTAGCATTCTTGAACTCATGGTTCTTTCTTTAGAAAAAAATAAAGTTTCACAAGTATACTGCTATTAAGCGTACGCGTTATGTGTATATATATGAGTTAATATCATCTGAGGTCATTTAAATATAGTAGTTTTGCCACGTTTAGTCCTAAACTTTTAAGTTAATCATTCATGGTCCTTTAGCTATTAAATTTAACCAACCATAGTCCTTTTAAGAGGACCACGACTGATTTAATTTAGAAAATTGAAGGACCATGAGTGGTTAACTTGGACGACGAATGGTTAAATTTGAAAATTGAAGGACCACAGATGGTGAATTTGAAAATTTAGAGCTAAACGTGACAAAACTATTATACTTGGAGGACCCCATGTGACATTAACTCATATATATATATATATATATATATATATATATATATATATATATATATATATATATATATATATATCACAAGTCACAACTCTACTTCTTACTGTATTTATATTGATACTAGTTAATATAAAATACAAATGATTGTTTCAATATAATCGAAATGAATATTTTTAACTTATAATGGAAAATGACACTTTTCCTCTCTATGTTATATACTTATAGTATTTTTTTCCCCTTGAATTAGTTAAGTGGCAGTTTTCCCACCTGATAAGTTAAATGTACATATTTACCCTTAAAATAAATATTTCATTTATATTTCTTTTCCAACAAATTATAACCGCGATTTGGTTCAAATCGAACCGACACTATAGCAACCAAACAGAAAGGTTATGATGACAATTTAGAACCAGAACCCAATATTTAGAGTTTATTAAAATCGCGAATTGAAACTGCCCGTTCATGTTCTTAATTGAAAAAATAAAATACAATAATTGTTGAATTTAGAATATTTTAAAAAAAAATTTAGAGAAAGTTTGAACCAGCAGTTCATTGGATCCGAAACCGTGAACCTGTTCAAAATCAAAACAAAATCGCGGTTCTATATACTTATATGTGAGAATAAAAATAAATGCGAAAAAGAACATACACTATTTGCAAATATTATAATTATAATTTTAAGCTAATGCTAGTAGTTGTTCCGAATTGAACCGACGGTTCAAGATTCTTTTTTTTTTTTCAGTTCACGATTTTAATAAACGGAAACTGAAATACTGGGTTCTAGTTCTGAATCATAACC